CTTAAGGTGCCCTGGCCTGATAGGATCCCGAGAGAGGGGAGTTGTGTCCAGGGGATGACACTCAGGTGTCTGGCATCATTTTTTTTTTTAAGATTTATTTATTTATTTATTTATACAAGCACTTGGCGCAGTCAGAAGTGTGGGAGGGTGAGAGAATTCACCAGAGCCAGAGCAGGGACCAGAACAGGCAGACTGACAAAATACACTGCTGAGGGGAGCAGCGGGCACAGCAGGAGAAGTCTGTGCGCCATGTGGGACCCTCGCCGGCAGCCGGGGATTGAACCAGCGTTGCAGAGGCTGTGGGCAGCCTCACATCCAAGCGCTCAACTGCTGTGCCACTAGAGAGGCCCTGTCTGGTATCATTTTCTGGGCAGGTGTTTTGTGGTCTGTTCTCCCGGGATGGAAGGCACGCCGCCCATTTCCCAGACAGCCCTCTCAGGTGGTATGAGTGTAGGTAACAGGTGGTCTTTGTACAGCTGTCCTTAGCCCTGGCCTGGCAGGAGTAGGGCGCATGGCTCTGTAGACTCACAGTGGTTAGAATTCCACGGGTGCTTCTGGAGACTGGTTCACGCCACAGATGCAGTTTGCCATCGTCACAAACTGCCTCCTCCTTTAGTGGCCTTGGTAGACTTGTCCTTGAAGTGCAACTCGCTTTCTTGTAGAAAAGAGCAAGAATGACCTGGCATCTTTGAGGCCAGCCTTTCTAAGAGCCTCTGGGTAGAAGAAAGCTTGCAGGAGGTTTGGGAGCAGCAGCAAAGTGTTTGGCAATGGTTTGTTTATTTTCTGAATTGGAGTTGTAGTTATCAGTACCGTGGGTGAGGACAGCTGCCAAGTACCTGCTGTGTCTGTACCTCACACATTATCATCCAAGGTAGCAGCCAGGAGGGCTGGGGTTGGAACGTGGTTTACTCTAGTCTGTCTTGCCGACTGGTCCCAGGATTGAGCTTAGGCTGCTGCTCGCCACACTTACCAGCATGCTTCCTGTATCCACTTAAATGCAGGGAGCTGGCCCATGCAACCAGTGTGCATTACACACGACCAAGACAGGACATTAGCTCAGGTCTCAGTGCAGGTGCTGCTCAGGCACGCTGGCCCCAGTGCCACTGCTTCCTTTATGTCTGTCTTATCGCTTTTCTCATGCCCTGCAGTGACCTTCTGTCTCGTTTGCTTGTATGTTATCAGCCTCCCCACCACCAGCCCAGACCTGAAACTTCTCACACAGATTTGAACCCACCTTTTCCTCTGCTCACAGGACACCAGCCCAAATGTCCAGTGAATGAGTGAATATAATTGCATTAGAGAGTTAGGGGTGAGCTTCTGGAGCATGGTGACTTTCTGTGAACTCTTATTCAAGTGATTGCCTTACCCATGGAAGACTTTGTTTGCCTGAGCTCCCCAAATGGTATCAGAGTGTTTCTGGTCTGTTAATTTGGTAGTCTTTAAATGATTGCTTCTTTGTTCCTTCGCCAAAGTGGTCATGGGTGTTATCTTCTTGAACATGTTCATACTGACATCTAAATATCTCTAAATACAATGGCATTTTTGGATGATCAAGAAGTTAAACTACTAAATGTAGAAGATGTAATGAGACACACCAATACTTTTGGAAATGTGTGTGTTAAGCTTCATACTTGTCTCCCATAAAACCTGTGCTACTGGGCCTCCCGGGTGGCACAGCGGTTGAGCGCTGAGTTGCGAAGCTGCCCGCCGCCTCTGCAGCCGGTTCAATCCCCGGCTGCTCCCCGGCCACCGGAGGAGGGTCCCACATGGCGCGCAGACCTCTCCTGCCGCCCGCTGCTCCCCTCAGCAGTGTACTTTGATCCTTCTGCCTGCTCTGCTCCCCGCTCTGGCTCTGGTGAATTCTCTCACCCTCCCCGTGCTTCTGACTGTACCCAGTGCTTGTATAAATAAATAAATAAATAAATCTAAAAAAAACCAACAAAAAAAAACCTGTGCTATTGAGGAAGAGGGGGAAAGGCAGAGACCTTGGGAGGGTGGGAAGAGGTGGGAGGGTCCTCTCTCTCAGTGGATGAAATGGTTGGTAGAGAAGAAGTCAAGGACCTGGGGGGTAGGTGAGGAGATTGAGGAAGGGACAGACAACTCTAGTGCTTCAAATGTGCCTTGAGTTTAAAAAAGAGTTGGGGTGCAAGGGGAGGAAGAGGGGGGTGAAGGTGAGTAAGATCCAAAGGTTTAGTCAGAACATTTCATGGTTTCCCTAGTCTGAGAACCCAGGAGCCTGGTAGAGGGACCTTCTTGGCACCTTCCTTACTGCTCCTCTGAATCTTGTTCAAGGTGCTGCAGGAATAGGGATAATGGCCCCTGCTTTGCCAAGTACAGGAGTGATATTTTGTTTGGATTTGAGATTCAACCTGAATTTTTGGCTTAAGATATTTACTGTGCTGTGTCCTTGATTAATTATTTCTTCCTGGGCCTCCCCGGTGGCGCAGCGGTTGAGCGTTGGGTTGCGAAGCTGCCCGCGCCCGAGGCGCCGGTTCGATCCCCGGCTGCTCCCCGGCCACCGGAGGAGGGTCCCACATGGCGCGCAGACCTCTCCTGCTGCCCGCTGCTCCCCTCAGCAGTGTACTTTGGTTCTTCTGCCTGCTCTGCTCCCCGCTCTGACTCTGGTGAATTCTCTCACCCTCCCGCGTTTCTGACTGTACCCAGTGCTTGTATAAATAAACAAACAAATAAATAAAAATAAATAAAGCATGCCTCTATAAAAAAAAAAAATTATTTCTTCCTACCCAATGCATCTCTTGCCAAAGGAGATTTGTACATGTGATTAGTGGGGAGTTGAACTAATCCCCAATGTGATAAATCTGTCAGCCTCTGTCTACACTTCCTTGGCAAAAGTCCAACAAAAGTATTCCTTGCTTGGGCTCAGGGAGAGACAGACAGACAGCCCCTTCTCTCTGCATGTTTGGATGTTCTTGGGGGCAGTGCCACCACAGCGACATTAGATTAAACCAGGGGAAAACCCAGTGGCTTGGGGTAAGGATTAATGAAGTGGAGTATTGTTTTCAGGCAATGTGAGAACACTTGGAGGGCAGCTGTCTCTTTCCTGTGTCACCTGCAGCCGCCACAACACAGAGAGTACAGTGTGCCTCTGTGCCCTTTGGTTTTCAGAGAGGCTGTCACCATTCTCTGCTGGCACCTTGGGACTCAAGGAAGCCAGTGGCTGGCACTTCTTGGCTTCTCTTGTGTGATCAACGCAGGCCAGAAAAATGCCTCTGTCTTCTAGGATTTTGTTTGCTTCTAACCGATGGCTGTGGAATCCCAGCCAAGGCCTTTTGTGGCTCCTGAATGTGACCTGGTCTCTCCTGGCCTCCCCCACCCCACATGCTGAGAAGATCATCCTGGTCTAACAAGAAAGAAGAACTAGCCCTGTGTGTGACTCTTGCTTCTTCCTTGTCTCCAGCCTAGAAGAGCTTGATGGCAGGGACTTGCACCAAATGTGACCTCAATTTGGTCACCAGGCTGAGCATCAGACCACGTTGGGGCATCCTGTGCCTGTCAGCGGTATGGCAGCACCCCCTCTTCCCCATCTGGCATTGGCTAGCTTAGAGGCAGAGCCCCAGTGTGATCTGTTGTTGGCCTAGATTTGTGGTGTTGCTGGAACAGCTTTCCCTGCGTGTAGGGCCTGCAAGCCGCGCTTCGTGGCTGAGGGCAGTGCCTGACTTGGCCGGTGAGCGCAGGGCAGGGTGTTGGGTTGGGAGTTGGCAGGTGGCCAGTCTCCCTCCCAAGGGCAACCCCTGGCTTGAGAGCACTTTTGTCACCAGTGTCGCCTGAGAGTCTCGGGCAAGATGCCAGCCAAGGAAACATTGTGCCTTAATGTCTGGAACAGTGTTCTACAGGCTGCCTTCTTAAAACCCAGCGTTCTATGGGCTGCCTTCTAAAAACCTCTCTTCCTGGTGTTTTGTCCTGCTGCGATTCTGAGGAACTCCGGACAGCTCAGCAGTGAAGCCAGGAGATTCTCGAGCAAACCCTCCTGTTTCCCAGGGCCCTGCCTGGGGCTCAGTGATGTGAACCCTGGTGCCCTGAGACCTGCCATTTTTGCAGCAGGACTCTGGTCTTAGTCAGACTTGTCAGTAGGCAGGAGCAGGAAAGGGCATGGCTTAGGGATGAAGGAATTTATCCGTCACCCCATATGGGAAACCAGCATTCAGGTTCTACCCAACTTTCATTTGATAAAATCATTTTAAAATTGCCTTCTTTTAAAAGTTCTTTGTTTAGAAAGGCCACCCAGACCTGCTTGGCTTCTCTGTATTTGGCTGTGAGGCCCTTCTCCCTACTTCCCATGTCCCACTCCTGGTCGCCACCACCACTCCGTAGTGCTTTTAGAAACCATTTTTCTGGGCCTCCCTGGTGATGCAGGGGTTAAAGACAGCACTGTCAAGCAATTGGCAGCCACTGCAGCATGAGTTCAATCCCTGGCCGGCCAAGGAGCTACACACATGGCGCAGCAGACCTCTCCTGTCGCGCCCACTGCTCCCCTCAGCAGTGTATTTCAGTCAGTCTGCCTGTTCTGCTCCCCACTCTGTCTCTGGTGAATCTTCTCACCCCCCACACCTCTGGCCATACCCCAGCTCTTGTATGCATAAATAAATAAATCTTTTTTAAAAAAAGAAAAACCATTTCTCCTACTGTTAGCTTCAACCTCATTGGAGTTGAAAGTTGAAGAGTCTCTTCCTTTTCCCCACCTCAGGAGTGAACTGGTAACGGGTTTCTGGCTGGGTTTAGGGACCTCAGGTATCAGGCTGGGAATTGACTGGGACCAACCTTCCCATGCCTTACCTGAAGGTAGGACAGGGCTGCAAGGTGTGACTAGGGGCTCTGACCACCAAGGCACCCTGGTCCCCTGGGATTGTCAGAAGCCAGGGACTTTGCGATGGAAATGAAACAGGAACGCCATGGAATCCTGCAGTTTGTGGCTGGCACGGACTTTGCCCCTCCCTGCTTGTGGCATCCCTGCTGACCTTTTTCTCTGTTGCTTCTCTCAGCATGTGGGCCAAAGCTGACCAACTCCCCCACGGTGATTGTCATGGTGGGCCTCCCAGCCCGGGGAAAGACCTACATCTCCAAGAAGCTGACTCGCTACCTCAACTGGATTGGTGTCCCCACCAAAGGTAAGGCTGCACTTCAAGGCCAAGCACTATGCTCTGGCTTCACAACCCCAAACCTCCATCCCCAAAAAAATGACCTTTGCACCTCCAGCCACCTCAACCTCTGCAGATCTTTTTCCTTTAAACTCCCACAGCACTTAGCTGTGCTGTTCCTCAACCAGATGTCATAAGATGCCCAGTACCATTGACTATATTTTTATAAACCTTTGCCTGGTCTTAACCCATGCGAAACATCATGGGGACAGCCTTTGCTGCCCCCACTGCACCTGGTGAACTGCTTCATACAGTATGTGCTCAGGGAACTGTGCTTCCTCATGGCAGTGGAAGAATGGCTGGTTTGCACCTGCTGATAGGTATGTGAGCTCTTCCCTGGAGACCTTTGGCAGAAATCATTGCCCCTGTTTTCGCTAGATGTGTCTGCAGGCTGTTTGCACAGCCTGAGCCTCTAGTCCCCCATGTGGTGAGGCTGGGCTGGTCACCCCCAGGAAAGCAGCAGACAGCCATGAGCAATCAGAAGGTCAATGAGCATCTAGAAGGTCGATGATAGCCCTGGATGTGGAGAGCCACTCTCTGCTTTCCATGTCTTGCTAGAATCTTATTCAAAGCGGTCTTGGTGTGTAGTCTTGCTTTCCTTTTCTAGAGTGTTCCACCTTCTTCTTGGAGAGTCAGCTAAGTGTCCTTTCCTTTCCATCCTCAGTGTTCAATGTTGGGGAGTACCGCCGGGAGGCTGTCAAGCAGTACAGCTCCTACAACTTCTTTCGTCCTGACAATGAAGAAGCCATGAAAGTGCGAAAGTAAGGCCCTGGCTGCTGTGAGAGGCTTCGGACTTGGGTTGGCTTTGCTTTTTTTTTTTTTTTTTTTTTTTTTTTTTTGTTTATACAAGCACTGGGTACAGTCAGAAGCGCGGGAGGGTGAGAGAATCCACCAGAGCCAGAGCGGGGAGCAGAACAGGCAGAAGGACCGAAGTACACTGCTGAGGGAGCAGCGGCGGCAGGAGAGGTCTGCGCGCCATGTGGGACCCTCCTCCGGTGGCCGGGAAGCAGCCGGGGATCGAACTGGCGCCGCAGAGGCCGCGGGCAGCTTCGCAACCCAGCGCTCAACCGCTGCGCCACCGGGGAGGCCCTGGCTTTGCTTTTTTGGGTCAGATTATATCAGAGGAAGCGGAAACTGGTCAGTGGGGTGGTTCTGCTGGGCCATCAGAGGGCCCACCTGCATGTGTACTGGCGAAAGTCTCCTGCTTCCATCCATCTGATGTGACACAGATCCCATTAAGAATGTGACTCAAGGGCCTCCCTGGTGGCGCAGCGGTTGAGCGTTCGACTGCAAAGCTGCCCGTAGCCTCTGCAGCGCCTGTTCGATCCCCGGCCGCTGGGCGACGGTCCCACATGGCGCGCAGACCTCTCCTGCTGCCCGCTGCTCCCCTCAGCAGTGTACTTCGGTCCTTCTGCCTGCTCTGCTCCCTGCTCTGGCTCTGGTGAATTCTCTTACCCTCCTGCGCTTCTGACTGTACCTGGTGCTTATATAAATAAATAAATCTTAAAAAAAAAAAAAAGAATGTGACTCAAGGCTTCATAAAGAATGGGCAAAGTCTCTTTCATGGAAAATCATGTTTACATTTGAAAAGGCCTTTTAAGTCCAAGGTGCTCATGAAATCCAGGTGCAGTGCTATTCACTCTGGCTATGCTTCAGAATCACCTGGGAACTTAGAAAGCTCATCCCTGAGTAGGCCTCACCCCTGGTCAGTTCAGTGAGGGTCTCTGGCAGGACTGGGCAGCAGTTTTTTAAAATTTCCTGGGACTCAGAGCCCCGAGGCCTGAGCGATGCTTCCTGGGGCCACCACAGCCAGTGTGCAGGCCTCTAAGCAGAGCCTTGGCCTGCCAGATGGCCAGCTGAGTAGCCCCATGGTAGGCTCACCAGTCACCACTCATTGGGGTGAGTGGGGTGTGTGGGCACCGATATGTGCCTTTTCTGTGTTGCAGGCAATGTGCTCTGGCTGCCTTGAGAGATGTCAAAAGTTACCTGACGAGGGAAGGAGGCCAAATTGCGGTAAGTCTGAGGAATAGCTCAGTCTCCAATCCCATGGTAGGATAATGTCCTGGAGAGAGTGACATGTGAACACTGTCCTAGGAGGGTTTTCAGGCTGGACTGGGGCACAGTCAGCTGGTGTGCTCTGCTTAGCCCTCTGAGTACTGCCTTCCAAGGCACACGGACCTGGGTGGCTGCATCTGCTGAGCTAGTGCTCCTCTGCACACACCCTCCCGTGTGCTACTGCTTGTTCCTATGCTTTAAGGACCATTCCCACCTGTGCCCTCCGTCCCTGCATGTAAGAGGCAGTGGGAGTGGAGGGTGTGGGCAGAGTGGTTTCTCCTGGAGTCAGTTTTTGGCTGATGCCTGAATGACAGGCCAGGCCCTCTGGTGGTATGGTATATCCTGTTCATTAGGTCTCTTCACTGTCCATCTTTCTTCCTGTCAGGTTTTTGATGCCACCAATACTACCAGAGAGAGAAGGCACATGATCCTTCATTTTGCCAAAGAAAATGATTTCAAGGTAAGTGTAAAGTAAGGACTGGACACGGTGCAGGTTTTCTGATCCAGCAGACCCGGTGAAGGAGGAGTCAGAGTCCTTAGTGGCTTTTTTTGCAGATCTTTTATTGGGGTTCACCAGGCATATGGCAGGCAGGGGTGCTGGGGGGCCAGGAGGCTGGCAGGCCTCCCAGCCCCCAGCAGGTCTTCACTCTGGGCTCTCCGGCCTTCTCTCAGCTTCTGCTTCTCTTGCTTCTTGCTCGCTCAGCTTCTCTTTTGGCTTCTCCTTGGCTTCTACTGGCATCCCCGTGACGCCGCCCTTAAAAGCACAGTCTTAGCCCAGGTGAATCCCATCTACCTAGGCCCACACCCTACTCCAGGTGCCCGCCATCAGGCATGCATTCAGGACAAGGATCCATCATCTATCCTGATGGTGGGAAGGCAGAAAAGCCTGACATTTTTTTCCTTACCCTACAGTAAGCCAAACTTGTCGTCTTGCCTGGGAGCACTCCGGAGCAAGGAAACCCCAGGGATTGACTGATTCCTCTGTCTGGAGCTCTCTGATTGCTCCTTTACCTCCCGCTGCCTATGGAGGGGGCCTTCCTGGTGGGGCCTCCTAGGGGTGCCTAGAGAGGGGGGAGCACACCTATTGTGGGGAGGCCGAAGGGCCCATGATTGAGCAGGGGAGACTTTTTTGATCTGTATTTGGATCTACAAGCGGCGCCCTTCCTTGAATGTGGTGATAGCATCACAGTAACATCAGGTTGGCCCTTCTTGGGACCACATTGGTTGTTTCCTAATGTTTCTGTCTTGCTTCCTCCCAGGTGTTTTTCATCGAGTCTGTGTGTGATGACCCTACCGTTGTGGCCTCCAACATCATGGTGAGAAATGCAGGAGTCCTACTCCAGGGTGGTGGCCAGGCGGGGGAAGCAGCTAGACTCAGGGAATGAACTGGTTGTCCTAGTCATGGGTTTTTGTCTGGGAGCTACGATCTGGGGGGATCAGAAGAGCAAAGTGGTATTTAATTGAGAAATATGTTCTATGACTTAAGTGGCTTCATCTGGGGCCTTTCAGACTGTTGGCAAGAATCAGTATTTGCGGGAATTGAGAGGTATGGGGGAGATCAGGAGCAGTTTCTGTGAGTGGTAGAGGCAGCTGGGTGGTGATAGGGCTGCTCAGGCCAAGGGCAGCTCACCTGGCCTGATCGGAAAGGAGGCAGCAGGCCGATATCCTTTGCTGTATAAGGCTCTGGTAGGTAAGAATGGTCAAGCTGATAGGACCCAGCTGACTGAAGGTAGAATTCTCAAGTTTGGAAAGAGTGGATAATGGTTAATGTAGCTGCAGTGGATCTTCTCTCCCCTATGACAATGGGAGGTGGCCTGCATAAATTGAGGGTGACTGGCCACTTATTTTAATTAATTCTTAAATTTTATCATTTGATAGCAATATATCATACACAGGAATGGTTACTATAAGGACTTTGTGGCTGGTCACCTTCTCATATTATAAATGATTTTTATCCAGCTTAAATATATCAGATCAAGACATATCTATAAAGAAAAGCAGGCCTGACACCTCTTTGGCAGCCGTGGTGTGTACGAGTGTGCACTTTAGCAGGGTGCAGAGCTCAGCTTCAAGTATTGGGCCTTTCCTCCAAGCAGTGGAAATATTTACTAGCATTTCTAAGAAATGAGTTCACATTTCAGGAAGGGCTATTTAAATTCTGGAAAGTCAGCCCAGATCAATTTCAGCAGGTCCAAAGGAAGAGTCTCAAGGTACAAGGAAACAGAAGTTGCCATGGTCTGAACAAAGGGTTGTGCTGTGTTTCTTTGGTTTGGTTCTGCTAGTTCCACTTGGTAGTGAAGCCAAGTGCAGCTGTAAAATCATTTTTTCCCTTGTGAGCCATCACCAGGATGCTTGACTAAGAGTGCCCAGTCCACGTTGTTCCTCCATGAATACATCTGTCATTTGCCCCCCGCCTCTGTGTTCAGAAATCTCTTTCTGTTTAAGCCCTGAGCAGCCTCTTAACTCAGTCCTTTGCACTGTGCTCCTTATGTGGGTGACTATGCTTGGGAAAAAGAGATTCTGAACTTAGATATTTTTATTATGGTGGTAAAATGTATGACCTGACCTTTACCATCATAAGACGCTTTTAAGTGTACAGTTCCGTGGCTTTCAGCACATTCACAAGGTTGTGCAACCATCATGCCATCATCTCCAGAACTTTGTCATCTTCCCAGAGCAAAAGTCCATCCCCTTTAAACACTGACTTATTTAACTTGGACCTTTGAAGAGTGGCCACCTCTTTCATAGCTGCTGAGGAGGAAAAGGACACAGCTAGTATAAATATTGCTGGTTTCCCTAAAATCTGCCAGGTTTCTTAGACCTGTTGAGTTATAGGGAGGGCAGGCCAAGGGCCACTGCTGCACCGGCTTCCTGTGAGAGCCAACCTTGGAGATACTAAGCAAGGGTCCATGTAGGGAAGCATTAACTGCAGACTAGCCCCAAGTGTGTGCTGCCGCATGTGCTGGGGGGTGGGGTGGGGGTGTGGGGGTAGAATCCTGCCTGGCACTCGGGGTCAGGGGTGTCTTCAGCGACTCCTGAGTGCACCTCTGCTAACCTGCAGCCTGTTCTTGGTGAGGGGAGCAGTGCAGACGCTTCTGCGGAACTGGGTTGAATTGAGGGCTGGGCTGTCTGGTGGGCTGATCCTGAATCACGGTCCATTCAGAGGTTTCAGTCTGGAGTGATGATGGCCTGAGTGAGTCCATTCATTATGGAGTCCTACTGGGCTTTTTTTTCTCTGCCCTTCCAGGCAGTGATTCTCTGTCCACTGTGTAATCATCAGGTTCAAGGTCCCCTCCCCCATCTTTCCTTTTTTCTCTAAAGCGCTGGGCAGGCTCATCTTTATTCTGAGCCTGTCTGTGCTTTCCCCTTTTGCAAGCCCCAGTTCCTGCTTCATCTAAGCAGAAAGCCTCCCAGCGTGATTCATCAGCTGCCTCTTTGTGGTGTTACAGGAAGTGAAAATCTCCAGTCCAGATTACAAAGACTGCAGCTCAGCAGAAGCTATGGACGACTTTATGAAGAGAATTAGTTGCTATGAAGCAAGCTATCAGCCCCTCGATCCCGACAAATATGATAGGTAATTCTGAAGAGCTGACTGTCTGAATCACCTACTTGGGAACTTCTATTGTTCTGATATTCCCACAAAGGATTTCTCCTAGACATTTCTATAAACCCTTTTTAAAAATAACTCTTGGGAAACCCTACATTCTATTTCCAGTGTCCATGTTTTAGAAACTAGCTATGTAGAGATGTGGCAAGGAAGTATTTGAACCCAACCTTGCATTCTTCCCTTTGATATCTTCTTTGTTTTCTTTTCAGTCTCTTGCTTTCCTCTCCCCTCTCCTGGGAGACCAGCCAGCTTCTCGGCCACACACTGTGCTGTGGGGGTTGGTTGTTGTGCTCAAGCTCTCTGACTCCCAAATCGATTCTGTCTGTGCCCTCAGGGAGTGTAGTCTGAGTGTCTGCAGCAGCTGGCCTGGGGTGGGGTGTTCTGATCAGCCAGTGTCCTTCCTGCGCAGGGACCTCTCCCTGATCAAGGTGATCGACGTGGGCCGGCGGTTCTTGGTGAACAGAGTTCAGGATCACATTCAGAGCCGGATTGTGTACTACCTGATGAACATCCACGTGCAGCCCCGCACCATCTACCTGTGTCGGCACGGCGAAAGTGAGCACAACCTCCAGGGGAAGATTGGAGGTGACTCAGGCCTGTCCAGCAGGGGCAGGAAGGTAAGGGGGGGATAGGGAGGGTCAGAGGGATGGGGGAGGTGTGTGTCCATCTGTGTATCTGTGTCTGCATCGGTGTGTCCATCTGTAGGTCTATATGTGTGTCTGTGTGTCTTTGTGTGTGTGCAAATGCATGTGCAAGAGGATGGCCCTCCAGGGCTTTGTGGAGGGTGTGTTTGTGTACAGGCTGCCTTCTGTTTTTCTGGGGCTCCTCATTCTAACGGCAGCGCGACTGTCGCTAACGTGACTTGTGGGCAAGAGGCACTGCTTCTCCAGGCGGGCAGGAGGCTGGAGTCAAGTGTGTGTTTCTCTCTCCCTCTCAGTTTGCCAATGCCTTGAGCAAATTTGTAGAGGAGCAGAACCTGAAGGACCTCAAGGTGTGGACCAGCCAACTGAAAAGCACCATTCAGACGGCAGAAGCCCTCCAGCTTCCCTACGAACAGTGGAAGGCACTTAATGAAATTGATGCTGTGAGTCCCTGCGTCTGGCCAGGGCCTGGGGGGCAGGAGCGGAGGGTGTGGGAGCCTCTACCCAGATCTGCTAGAAACCATAGCAGATGGTTTCTGTCACACTGTGCCTGCTGCAGTCACCAACTCCAGGTAGCTGTTTGGGGCGTGTTCCCTCAAGTGACCTCTTGTTGTTTCTGCAGGGTGTTTGTGAGGAGATGACCTATGAGGAGATCAGGGATACCTACCCCGAGGAGTACGCGCTGCGAGAGCAAGACAAGTACTACTACCGCTACCCCACCGGGGAGGTGCGTGCTGGGCCACGGCTTTCCTCTATCTGGGCTCGCTTGTGGGTGTCAGTGAGTCATGGTCAAGTGTGGTTGGTGCATGTGGAGGAGCTTGTGATGCTCCTCAGCGTCGGGCTGAAGAGAGGGCTGCTGGGCACTCAGCTGGACCTGCCACTGCCAGGTGACTTTGCAATGAACCCCTGCCCCAGGACCAGGGGCTCTCACACCGGACTCCCTCTGTCCCAGATCTGATTCTCCCTAAACAACCTGTCAGTGCTCTGAGAGAAGGGCAGCTGGATTTCTCTGCGAGCAACAGTCAGAGAAGTGTTTCTCTCAAGACTCACAATCATGTGTGATCATTCCTTCCACACGAGGGTCTCCTTGTCTGCAGTCGACATGGCAGCCACATCACCTCTGGTCTCCAGTGTCACTGAATTGATTCTGATGGGGGGGGAGAGGCATTCCCTGTGCTGCATGTCACCCCCTGTGGCTGAGTGAGCAGATGCTGGAAGTCAGGGTCGGAGTCCAGGTGCAGGTGGTGCTCTGGCTTGACCATTGCCACCGCTGCAGGCCTGGGCTAGTGACACTTAGCTCAGTCCTTCCTGTTTGTGGCCCTCTGAGTCCTGTTCATAGCCCAGTCCCCTCATGCCAGGGTGCTGTCCTCTCAGCTCACCTGGTCCCTGGGACCCAGTGAGCGAAGGAAGGGGGTGGTGAGAGCTGCTGTGAGTTGGATGCTTGGTGGTCTTAAGTCACAGGTCTGCCCCTTCTTTTTAATCCAACATTTGCCTGTTAGAAAATTCATTTGATCCACTTCATGTATGCCATCAGTGGTTTTTAGTGTGTTTATAATACTATGTAATCATCACCACTAATTCAAGACATTCCATTGCTCCAAAAAGAAACTCCAGCCTGTTAACTCTGTCAGTCCCAACTACCCTGCTCCTGCCCCTGGCAACTGCAGATCTTTCTATCTCTGTGGATTTGCCTATGCTGGACAGTCCAGTACAGGCAATTCATTTAATGGAATCATATGGTATGTCTTTTGTGTCTGGCTTCTTAGTACAACTTTTTAAAGGTTCATCTATGTTGTAGCAGGTGTGAGGACTTCATTCCCAACTCTCCCATTTAGGGGGTTAGGAAAAGGAAGTCAGAGAGAGAGAGAGGGAAAGGTTGGGGGGAGAGAGGGAGAGGATATGAGGCTCACAGCATCACTTCTCCAATCTTCATCAACACGGGTGATTTCCCTTTATAGGAAGGCTGGTGAGGTGGGCCCCCCAGGGCCCATGGGAGCAGCATGGCTGTGTTGGCAAAGCTCCTATTTTTCCCATGCACCTTTGCTCCAAGTGTCTCCTTCCTCTGTCTGCAGTCCTACCAGGACCTGGTGCAGCGCCTGGAGCCAGTGATCATGGAGCTGGAGCGGCAGGAGAACGTTCTGGTCATCTGCCACCAGGCTGTCCTGCGCTGCCTCCTGGCTTACTTCCTGGATAAGAGTGCAGGTGCGTGGCCTCCAGAGCTTCCTGGGGTTTGGGTAGAATCCCACGTCCTTCCTCTCCAGCCCACATGGGATTTCTGGGTGCGCCCCAGCAGTGTGAAGGGCCTCCTGTGCCCAGCATCCCCCTGCGAGCCTGTGGAGCACTCTTCAGAGCTCATTTGGATGCACAGTGGGCTTACGTCTTCTTTGACAGCCCCGTTCTTGCCCTGTCTGCTCACAGCTTGGGGGCTTTGGGTTGAGTGGGAGGGGCAGCTCTAAGGAAGAAATGCCCAGAAAACATTAATGGTGCTCCTATATCCAACCGAATACCAAGGTTCAACCGAATACCAAGACTTGCTGAAACTGTTTGGAGAGTGGCTTTTTTTTTTTTTTTTTACTGTAACTCATTGTGAGGGTTAGTTTAGGTGTCTGTTGTGAGGTATGCATGGGCAGGAAGAAGGGGAAATGCATGTCATGCTCAGGGCACTCATGTGCAGACTACCTCTAGGGGCCGGTGAGTATCCATCTTCAAATCTCATGTCTGATCTTGAGGGCCCTTTTTCTTTTCAGAAGAGATGCCTTACCTAAAGTGCCCTCTTCACACTGTCCTGAAACTGACGCCCGTTGCTTATGGTAAGTGGGGCGACCCAGCCCTGCCAAGACCTGTTCCTGGGGATCGGGTCTCCTGGTGGCGGTGGGGCTGCAAACCACTGTCCCCTTTAACTGAAGCCATCCTCTCTCCCTGCTGCCCAGGTTGCCGTGTAGAATCCATCTACTTGAACGTGGAGTCGGTGAGCACACACCGGGAAAGGTCAGAGGTGAGTGTCACCTCTGTGCCTCTGGCCCTTGAGCACCAGCCTGTCAGGTGATGGGCCCATGGGTGCCAACACTTGCAGACCCCACAATCTTGGTACCTTTGGATATTGACCTGTGTCTTTCCCTGAGTTCTCCCTGAAGGAATTTGTGGGGACCCAGCCATCCTGGGTGACTCTCCCTTCTCTCTTCTGAATCTTCTGTGTTCTTGGCCTGTCTCTCCTGCAGCTCTTGGCATCTTCTTTCCATGCTTTCTCCCCCCATTTCTACTTGACCCAAGAAGTGAGCCTTAAAGAGGAAGACACGTTCTCCTCTTTGAAACATAACCATGACACAATTATTGTCTTTTCTTTTGGGGCACCTCAGTTATTTTAGATTCTAGAATTAGTTACACAGGATCAGCAAATCCACTCAGTCATCCATAGACAATTAAGTACAGAATTACCAAGAAGATGATATTAGGACACAAGCATGTAGAGAAACAAAGGATTTGGGAATTAGAGAAGTAGATGGTGGATAGAGGGTGTTTTCAGGATATCCAGTGTCTGGGTGCTGCCGATGTCCACTTGGGGTGGGTTCTGAAATTTGTCAGTGGTCTGCAATTTGGCGGTGGGACTGCTGGATCCCCAAGACTAGAGCAGAATCTGCCAGGCACACGATGTGAAAGGAAGTTTGAATTCACTTTATCTGACTGTGGAATGCACAATTCTTCCAGCACCAGCCCCATCCTTTCTTTTGGTGTGACATTCTCACCATGCAGGTGCCTTCCCAGTCCCCAAGGAGCTTGGCCAGAGGATTTCTGCATTAAAGCCCCAGCTTCTGCCCACTATTGCCTGACTGGTTGATGGAAACGAGAGGGGACTGTCCCCTGGCTTTGTGCCAGTCTTTCTAAACATGGGTAATGGTACTGCTGCTGCGACCCCTCCATGGTGCGAGCAGCAGCTTCAGCCTGGCCCAGCTGGGCTCTAGCAGCCCCTGAGCACTTCTCTGCAGGGCATAGGAGCAGGGTCTTTAGACAGATCTCCCTCAGGCACCTGCACCCTGTCTGCGGGGCTTCGGAGGTCCCATGTGCCTTGATGGAACACTAGTCTTTTACCCTGGCTGACCGATTCTGTTTCCCCCAGGTTTTCTGTATCTTTAAACTCCTGGCTGCCCTTGCAGCCTGACTGTGCTGTCTGAGCCGGGGTGTGGTTCTCCATGTCAGCCCTATAGATCCTGGCTCAAGGTCCAGTGTGACCCCTTCTCCCACCTCTTGCTGACCTCTGGGTGGTTACTCGAGCCTCATATCCAGGCCTCTCCCCGCATCCCTCCTGCTGACTCTCTTGGAGGCTGGCAGCCAGGTTCTTCCCGACTCCATATCTGTTGTAATTGCTTACCTGGATGCAGAATTGCTCCTGCTCTTCTCTCACCTGCTTTGCACGTGTTTGTCCAAGTGGGTATCTCGGAACCACCTGGGAAAGGGGCCCAGGAGGAGATCATTTGTTATTCTTAGTGATGGGGAGATGCTTATCGCATCAATAAAATCCAGAAGCAGAGAAATGTTTTGTAGGATTTTTTTTTTTTTTGGCTTTTTTTTTTTTTTTTTTTTACCTCCCCTCTCCTTATAACTGTCGCCTTCTCTCTTTTGTCTTTGTCTTGCTTAGGATGCAAAGAAGGGACCTAACCCGCTCATGAGACGCAATAGTGTCACCCCACTAGCCAGCCCCGAGCCCACCAAAAAGCCTCGCATCAACAGCTTTGAGGAGCATGTGGCTTCCACCTCCGCTGCCCTGCCCAACTGCCTGCCCCCGGAGGTGCCCACGCAGCTGCCCGGACAAGTGCGTCGACCCTCCCTCCTTCCTTTCCTCATGGCTTCGTCTCAAGTCTGGGAGGGGGGAATGTCCTATGGGTGCGGCGGTGACCTCGGACCCGGCGTGTGTTCAGGTGGGAGGAAGAGAGTGGGACCCTCTGAGGCAGTGACCCCAGGAGGACCGAGTGCCCAGGCTTCTCGAGGGGGAGGCAAGCTGCAGACAGAACTGGGCGGAGCAGTGCAAACCACGGTGTCTGTCTGTGTCCATTCTCGTTCCTGAATGGTGTGGCCTAACACAAAGTCTAAACCCCCAGTTCAAGAGAGTCCATTCAGCTCTGGGCCATGGCTTCTGAGTGGTCTAAGGATGTCTTTTCCCCAGACCCACGCTGTGTGTTTTCCATGCTCTTCTGCAGCGCCGCCCCCACCTCAGACAAGGTGTAGTCAGTCAGGGGCCTCGGAGCACAGGCTGGTCTGGAGCCATGTGGCTGACTGGAACCCCAGCAGCGTGATATCCAGGCCTGGATGACCTGGAAGTGGCCACTTTATCATATAACAATGGCTACTTCAGCAGGTAGTAAAAAAATGAGTGTCCAGACATGGCTAGATTTCCCTTACTTCATTTACTATGAAGATTAATGACTGGAAGACTTGACTATTTGGTAAAGAGACAGGTTTTCAGGAAACCAGTCTTTAAAGACAGATGAGAATCTTTGCCAATATGTGAGATATAGAAATAAATCCTTAGGCACAGATTTAGGTCTCACCTCTGCACCTCTACTCATACACTTAGGCTTACAGATAAATACGAGGCTAAATTTTCAAATAGGTTTGCATGTTAGGGTGAGGAGGCCTGCAGGTTGCCTGCATGTCCCTGCAGCTCATTTAAACCTTAACTGTCTGGCGAGGCGCTGGGGTGGGGAGTGGCACACAGCCTCAATTCCCTATAGACCTCACTTTTCTCTGGAAGGGGGAGTAGCACCTCCTATAGGAGGTGGATGGAATAAGGTGATTGTGTGGTGTGTCTCACACATTTGGGGCTCACACTGAGACAAGGCTCCTGGGAGCCTGGGAGCCTGGACCTGGCTCTGGAGAATAGCTCTGCTATGGGGCATGAGCTGTAAAATTTTATTGTCGGATGAGGTTCCCTTGCTGGCCTCTGTCTCATCTTTTAAAATGGAGCAAGACAGGGAAACATCTAAGACGTTTAGGTTCCTTTCAGCTGTAAAATCAGGTGGTTTTTTTTTTTTTGTGAAAACAGATCTGAAATGTAGTGTGAAATATAGCAGCATAGCTGGAAGTTTAGAGGTCACCGTTTAGAGGAACCCAGGGGTCTGGCCTGGATGAGGGTTGGGTGGTGTGGAAGGATGCACGGCTGAGGCTTCCCCAACTTTGACAGGACAGTCTTTGGGGTTGCTAGGCTGAACTCTCAAGCCCCTGGGGAGTCTGGAAGCACTTGGCTGGGCCAGACCTGAGAGGTTGGACGGGGATTGTCCCAGCTGAGAGTGTCTTGGTTTCAAATGACTCAGCCCTGCACCCTCTTCCTCTACTGACTTCTCTCTCTCACCTTTCTCTCTGCAGCCTTTGCTAGGGAAAGCCTGTTTGTAAGTATTTTTCTCTGAATAAGTTTCTGCTCACTTCTTTTTTCTTGCTTGCCAATTTGGCCTCCTGCCTGTGAAAATGTTGTTGCGGATAATAACAGTTTTTCTGAAATGTGAAGGAGGAAGATGGCACGGGAGGAGGGAATTTATGAATTTGTAGCAGAGGATGCAAGAACTAACTACGGTCCAGCTGGTTTTAGCCTATTCCTGTGCCGCTGCTGCCACAACTGGCTTCCCTCTTCTTCTTGGGTTCTAGGTGATCTTAGAACCTGCAGTGGTCTGTGGCTTGACATAAACTCATTTTCCCCTATTGGAGGCAGATTTTGGTGTTGAGCTGGGTTTGTGCCTGCTGCTGTGTCCTGAGTTCTTGTTCTCCCCTAGGAGAGCCCTTTCATGTTGCAACTTTACCAGCAGTCTAATAAGTAAAACCAATATAAGAGGTGGTGCCCTGGTAAGAGTGTGGTGGGGGTGGGAACCGGGCAGCCTCACCTCCCTGTCCTGGTGGGGACCCCAGTGACTCTGCAGACCCCATAGGCAGGATAGGTCTATTTGGAAACCATTCTCCAGGAGGGGCTTGACTTGTTAGGAACGTGCTCAGCCATAGCAGTCACATTAAATTGGACTGGGTACAGTTGTCCAGTCAGATCCACGTATTCCCCCTACATCAGCCAAGCTCACTACAGAGTTTCTGGTTAAGCCCCCTGGAGCAGCCTCTGTTATTTCTGCCTGCTCCAGTGGTCACAACCATGGAGGGAGCTGAGGGTCTTAGCACCACAAAATGTTACCCTGCCAACCCTTAACGTGACATCTGCTTGTATTCCCTTTTGCCGATTAGGTTACCTTGACTATTTCATGCAGAACTGAAATAGCTGCAGAAAGAGCACCTTAAAGTCATGACTTGTTCTCAGAAACTGAGAGTTCTTGGCATCAAGCTTAGATCTAGGTGGCACCACCTGTTGGAAAATGTATTTGGACGTGCTTTACAGCCTGTGGGGAATGTGGCTACATTCTGTGTCTTGAGTCCTTAAAATAATCCTAAGTGGTCACCAGGGTGGGCATATCCCCATTTACCAGAGGAGGGCTGAGGGTGCATCACTGGCCTGTAGTCATCCAGCTAGTCAGAAGCAGAACTGGGGCTTGAATGGGTCCTCCAGTTCTGGAGGTTGGCTGCTTTCTCTCTGGTGGTTCCTGGGAAAACAGCCAAAATGCTGTTCACCTTCCCCATTCCGGGCACCAACCTCTCTCTGCCCCCCTCATTCCACCTCCTTTTAATGCTTGCAGCCGCTTCCAGTGACTAAGGTGTGTTTACTTAGTAAACACATTACATTCCGTCTGTAAGAATCAGTCCCATGTCCGCCACTCCTTGAATCCCAGCATTGTACAGGGACCCTGCAGGATCATGGGTCTCCTGTGGGGAAACTAGACTTTGCATTTGGCTCCTTAGGGTTTGGCCTCTGTGCATATCCTCTTCCTTTTGCATGGCTGATGTTGCTAAGAAAGAAACCCTTTTCCCAGGAGGGAGTTAGGTGGGTACAGCCCCCCACCTCTTAGGGTTGAATTTGCTTTTCCAAGGCTAATCCCTCCAGTATAGTCAAAATGCATTCCTCTGGACCCATCCTGCCTGCTTTCCTCTCCAGTCCCTGCGTCTACCCCAGCCTGGGAGTAGGACCCCAGGCCTGGAATTGCAGACAAAAAATTTATTATCAAAGTCAAACCAAGCCAGGTTTGAGTCTTGCTTCTCCTGCTCTCTTGTCTTTGGGACTGTAGCAAGATGATGAGTGTCTAGGGCTAGAGCATCCTCATCTGTCAAACAGAGAGAGGAACGTGATAAAGGAGGATATGGATATGTGGGGCCAGTGCCGGTAGACACTGTGATCCTGGCAGAGTGGGCACCTGTGCCTGGTGGTACATCCAGAAATCTTGGCCTTTCCATGTCCTCCTGTCCCATCTACACCAGGACACTGGGATTTCTTCTCGTGGGCAGCAGGAGCACCCAGAGACTGGGCATTGGGGGAGTGTGGGGAATCTTCAGGGGTGCAGTCTGAGGATGCTGTTTCCTGGTAAAATAAGCAGGAGAGAGGGCTGGACAGAGGACCCTACAGTCATCTTCCGGGGCTGTGTTCAGGCTGGAATGATAGACCATCTGAATTGCATCACCCATCCTTTATTTTTAAATTTTAAATGCACACTGAAAGAAAGCGTTACTAAAGATGTTTTGTTTTTCTTTTCCCACCTCTTTCTTTCTTTTCCCACTATGCTTGAAAGACGAACTGTCTGTCACATTTTCTCAAAGTTTTCTCCTTACTAAGCTTGGAAAGGTAAATGGCCTGGTGCATGCCTCTCTTTGTCCCCCTCATCTCTCTGAGTCATGCATCTCAGCCCGAGAGGGCGTCTTGATCTGTGTGGAGACTGGCCATTGTGCAGTGTGTGACACATACACCCGTGCCAGGGAACACGTGTCTCTCTAAGAGCTGCTCCATTGTCTCAGGGGCCTCGCTCCTGCCCTACTTTCCCTCCCTGTGTCCCTAGCCAGGGCGCCATGAGTGAATGGTGTGGACATCCCGTGCCTGTGTCCCACTGTCATTGTTGCATCGCCATCATTTCTGGGCTTGCGATGTCTGAGGGTGGGTTGGCGCTACTGGCTGCAGGGACCCAGCAGTGCCTCCTCTCTGACCGCGCAAATTGTCTGGGTCCTTGCTGGCTGTGAGGCTACAGGGCCCTTCCCCGAAATATCCCCATCCCTCCACCTACAGAGGGTGTGTGGATGTACTCGTGGTTGGGGTGTGGGGTACCCCCCGCTCCTGAGATCATTGAGAGCAGGCTCAGATCCAAGCGCTGGCTTCAGTGCTGCCAGCCCTGGGATTCTTCTCTAGAGAGTTTTCTAGCTTAGACCTCGGTTCCGTGTCAGAGGGTGGGGGTGGAGGAGTGGTCACCCCTGTACATCTGCAGCCTGGATTCCGCTCTCCCCATGCTCCTTAATAGTCTTACATTCAGGATCAGAGAGAACACATAGGTTGTGTTTCCTTTTTTGGGGGGTGGATTCGGAGGTTAGGGGAAGAGACCGCTGCTGAACTGTGGCAGCCGTCACCTGTTCCAGCTGATTGGAAAACATTTTAGAGGAGATTTTCACACTGGCTGGCTTCTGAGGGTGGGCTTTAAGGTAGGATTGCTGTTACTAGGACAGGGAGTGTGCTCTGCTGGCACATGCTTTCTTTGCCTGGGTCCCTGGCCTGGGCCTTTCCTGCCTCAGTCAGCCACCCTTTTCAACCTGTGTTCCAGCTGCTGAGCCCTGGTTTCTAGAATCTGAATGACAAGGGCTGGGGTGTGCAGCTCTGCCTGAGGGTCCCCTGCTTATCTTCTGCCTGGCTGTAGACGGGCCTAGGGCAGCCTCAGGGTTCCAAAGGGTCTTGAGCAGGACGGCTTCCTTAAGAGCTGGCATCCACTGCACCCTAGAACAGCTGTGAGCCACGAGAGCAACCATCTCTTCCCCACTTCCTTCCCTGCCTCCTGCAGGTAGATGACAGGCCTCTGCAGCAAGATTCTCCCAGCCTTGCACCCAGCCCCTTCTCTAGTGTGACTCTGGGCTTAAATCCTACCACATTCCTGGGGCCTCCCTGGGCTTCCTTCCACCCATCTGGCTAATGATGCTCCTCCAGGGTCGTGTTTTTTGTTTTCAGGGGATGGGAGGGAAACTCTCAATTGCATGGCTTTAGTCTTTGGCTTTAGAAACCTAGTCTGCTGTCAGTAACACTTCCCCTTCCCGCCCCTCTTTTCTCCTGCTGCAAACAGAACATGAAAGGCTCCCAGAGCAAGGACTCCTCCCGGAAACACTGAGGCAGACCCATCGGTTCCACTCCATTTCCATTTCTGCAGCTTAGCTATTGCTCTTCCGTCTACTCAAGGCCAAATGATCCCAAGGACTTCTACCGGAACAGGAGGGTGGTGAAGAAGGCTGTGCTGATGGAACAGAGCCGGTGTCCCAGCAGCGTCGGGGAAGCCAAGATACCAGGAGGCCTTTCCCGTGTGCACGTGTGACCACCGCAGCTGCCATGTGAGGCCGCAGTGCTGCCTCTGCTCTCCCTGCCTCTCCAGGGCATTGTGGCCTCACTGATCCTCCCACCCCCAAGGCTCAGTGAGGGTGATGAGCAGAGGAGGAGGCGAGAGAAGGCCTCAAGACAGGGGTGTCAGTGCCTCTGTGCTATTTTGTTGTTTTTCAGCTGGTATGTTCTCAGCTGGGGAGATGACACTGGCCCCAGAAATCTCCATTAAAGGGGCCTAGATCCCGGTGACTGAAGGTCAAGGGATGTTGAGCTTTCACCAGGCTTTACTGTTCGTCTTGGCTGGGCACGTCGCTTTGTGAACTCCAGGTGGAAAGAGAAGTCATGCTCTACCCGTGCGTGCACCTACCTTCCCAGGCACGGTCTGGCAATGTAGTGCTTATTAGCACTGGGATCTCAGCCCCCCAGGGAGCCCCGTGGATCTTCTACCTGGATCTCCGGCACCTGAGATGGAATTCCCAGGGCTGCTCACTTTTGCACTTTGTTTTATGGCAGAAAGTGTGGCCTGAAAGTGGCACCATCTCTTCAGGATCTTAGGTTTTGTGCCCTCAGTGACTGCAGGGCTGAAAGAAAATGGGGACAGGGTGGCAGCGGGCCCATGAGATGGTGAACTCAGGACTCTGCAATCCAGCTGAGGCGAGAGCGATGAGATCACTGCAGGACTGGCCTGGGAGGCAGTCTGGGGTGCCGCATTCCCCTCTTCTGCAGGAGGTCGCCACCTTCCATGATTCCTGGTAGGGATAGTGGCCTGCTCTTGGCCACTTCTCCCAGAGCGTCCATGGCCTCCTGACAGGTCTCTTTATCATCTCCCCATGTTTTTCTCAAGCCCCTGCTGTGCTGGGTTTCTGGGGGGAATTCAGAGGAGGAGACTGTCCCTGCTCTCCTTTATGGCACTTGGCCATTTTTGTGGAGTTTCAAAGCAGGGCCTTTGGAATGTGTGTTCTAAATTCTTATAGTTTCTGCCTGCTTGTTTCTCCTTGTTGACTTCAAGTACTGGGGAAGGAGGGGTGTCTTGAGGCTCAGAAGAAGCAATTTCTAGACTCAGCAGTGGAGTTTGCCCAAATGATCCTTTAGGAATCTCTGCTAGCTGGTGCCAAAGGACACTCTACTTTCCTGTCTTCTGCTTTTGAGCCTGACATCCTCACCCTTCTTAGCTTAAGAAATAGTTATTGGAAGTGGGATTGGGGACACTGAGCCATCTGGGGCCTGGAGTGGAGAAGAGCTGTATTTTGTTTTGTTTGAGGAACTTTTAGAGAATGCATGTTTCTCTGGTTGTGATTACGTGGGAAACGGAAAGACACTTCAGATACCATACATCAACTTTGTTGTTTTCACACCAAACCATTGGAATCCCACTGCCCCCTACCTACACCCCCAGCCCCGTTGGCAGACGGCCTGAGAGGCTGTCTATATATTCCTGTGTGAGGAAGACCTGGGCTATTTTTCTTACTCTTTGAAGTCTGGTCAGACAGCATGTTCGTGTGTGCATGAGTGTGGGGAGGTGAGTGTGTGTGTGTGTGTGTGTGTGTGTGCATGCGAGCGTGTTTGTAGGCTGCCTGCATTATTAAATGGCCTGCAGTTCTGCCCTTGAGCTTCCTCACACCCTCTGGCCTAATCTCTTCCCCGGTGTCAGAGCTGACACTGAATATTGGCTGACCCTACCCAGGGCTTTAGGGGATCCATCCCCCTCACCTCTGACATAGGGGACTTGCCTAACAGGAGATAGAACATAAATGTGGATGGGGAAGGAGGCCTTGGAAAGCAGAGGCTGCCTCATTGAAAGCCGGGGATCTTAATTTGGGGGAGAGGGGGTGGTGAGTGGAAGGTGTTTGAGCTGCAGTTACAGAGCTTCAGCCACTCCGACTACTGACACCACCTCCTCTCCCCCCAGAAAATCTGGGACCAATTTTTTTTAACTTTGCATATTTGTTTCTGGGTGTGCATACCCCCTCTCCTTACTCTGTCCTGAGACCATGGGCCAAGCTCTTCATTTGGGGGGAGAAGAAAAACTGAACCACACCAATGACGTTTTTGTTTGTAATACTTGAAATTTATTTTTTTATTATTTTGATAGCAGATGTGCTATTTATTTATTTAATATGTATAAGGGAGAGTGAAGATAGGAAGCTGTATAAATTGGGTTTGGTTGTTTGTTGGTTTGGGGGCCTTTTACATGTGACTTACTATGCCTCTGTGTTCTAATGTTTGTCTGAATTAATTACCTGGGATGAAGCTGTGCCAGCTTTCACACAGGGGATGCCTTTCAAAAATTTGTATATTTTGCAATTGCCAGATCAATAAAATACCTGGTTGAAATACACAATAATGTGCACCTCTGATCCTTTTTGGGGTGGGGAAGAATCTTTCATTAGCATCTGTGTTCAGGTACCATGTTTCTTCACTCAGCTCTTGACCTACCACTCCATCACCTTCTTTTATTTTTTTTTATAAAGATTTATTTATTTATGCATACAAGAGCTGAGGTACAGGCCAGAGATGTGGGGGGTGAGAGGTTTCACCAGAGACAGAATGGGGAACAGAACAGGCAGATTGATCGAAGTACGCTGCTGAGGGGAGCAGTGGGCGAGTCAGGAGAGGTCTGCTGCACCATGTGGGTTGCTCCCTGGCCGGCTGGGGATCGAACTGGTGCTGCAGAGGCTACACAGTGGATTGCTTCATAGTGCAGTGCTTAACCCCTTGTGCCACCAGGGAGGCCCCACCATCACCTTCTTTTAAACAGGACATGCAGATACCGGTTGCCCAGTGCTGTATTTGAGAAATAATAAACTGCACCAACTTAAAGGAAAATTAATAGACAATGATGTATTTTGGAGCAGTTTAAGGTTTATAGAATTATTTGGGCAGTACAAGGAACTGCAGCTGTACCAAGAGTTTACATATACCCCTCTGTCCCTGCACGGTCTCCCTCTTACTAACATCTTGCAGTGGTGTGGGGCATTTGTTACAAGTCATGAGCCAGTATTGAGCTGTCAGTGGTAATAAAAGTCCTTGGTTATGTTATAGAGCAACCCCGATATTAAACGGGTTTTTGGCCGGATATACCAGGGCCTCCGGGAGGAGTTAGACAAGCGCATATGGCTCTTGTCCATCATTACTGTGCACACGATGCCCCATCATTTTTATTCCCTCCATTCCACACCTTCCCCCAGCCTCTATTTTTTTTTTCTTTCCCCCCTAGCCTTGAAACAGCACCAATTCTAACATAAGCATTGCAGAGCATGTCACAGCCCTGGAAAGAATAACAAAAAGGTTTATTTTAGGTTCCTGGTGCCTTTCACTTCCCACCCTCCCCCTACACCCTCACGGCCCATTTCAAACTTCTAGGATGAGTTTGCCAGAACTTGAGCAAACTTTGCTTCTGAGCTTCAGCACCCTCCTCTCTGCAGGTGAGAACTCAACTCTTGCATACCATGGTCAGGCAGCTCTGAGCCTGTAGGCAGCCATCGTGGATGACCTGCAGTGCCTTCACCGTGTATGTTTCTTCCAGAGCTCCTGCTGCCAGCTCCAGAAATAGCCCTTCCTCCCAAGTTAGTCTTCCTGCATCCCTTACACTTTCCCAGCCTGAACTGTGAAGAGAACAGGAGTCAGCAATTTACACCTTCCTTTAGAGATGACCTCCAGGTGGGTAGAGCCCAGTGCTAAAGGGCTTTGCCTGGTGAGCCCAGCCCTGGTGCAGCCTGTGAGGGACATACCTCAGCCGCTCCTTGGATTCTGTGATTATTTTTGCTCAGTATGTGGGTGCAGAGGTTAGTGTGGCGGCCTTTACAGGCATAGTCATTTGCCCCTAACTCTCTCAGGTTATCAACCAAGAAGTTAGAAGCTGGCACACTGAAGTCAGGTCTGCTCGGCATAGGAATCCATGACATTTCCATGAGCTTTTGCGCAAGCTCTGAGATTTATCAGTGTGACATCAGGTAAGGGCTGCAACTATTGGGGAAATTATTGAAGAATGAGTCACCAGGTGGATTCATCCTGGAGAAGAGAGGGGGGCAGAAAGCCCCAGGGAGTGAATGACAGAGGGCAATTCAGATGTTAAGATCCCAGAAGTGAGCCAGGCCCCAAGGCCCTTTGTACCTTGCAAACCAGACCAGGAATTCCTGTAGCAAATGAGGCCATTGTGCAATTACTAACAGCTACAAGGCTGAGGACTTACTAATGTAGTTTTTTTTCTTTTTCGCTTTCTAGTATCTATTTGGATGTTTAAACTCTCTGCAGTAAAAACTAAGTTTTTACAAGCTGTTGAACAATGACAAATTATTTCTCCCATGAAAGTAGTCACACAATCTTAGAAAGAACAAATATATGGCTGAATGAACATTAATACACATCACCATTTTATCAATTGCATAATAAGACAAATTATGGAGTCTCCAAATACTAAGTTACATGTTCAGAAGGTGTATAAAGTATTAGCTATCTGTTCATTTTATCAGCAGAAACTCACTTTTTTTTTTTTATCTACAAGAGAGTTTGGAGAGAAGGGGAAAAAAATCACTTCAAACAAAAATAAGTTGGTAACTTCAAATAAATGAAAAAAATTACAAGAATTTCAGAAATTAATTGTTAACAATTGTTTTAGGTACAATAACAAAACATCTCTACTTAAAAAACATTTACTAAATTAGCAGATTTTGCATGTTCTGCACAAGACAAAGGCAACATTTTATTAAAAATACTGAATAATCCCCTTCCATTTTTTTCAGACTCATTAATTTGCAAATATTAAAATATTGAAACTAAATCTAAGGTTTTTGTTTGGAGATGTAAAAGACATGTGCAATGTAGATTTTCAAAATGGAGGTTTTCCATAACAGCATAAAATAAGATTTATAGACAAACATTAGACGATCACTTCTAGATCTGGTTAAAAAAGACTAGGAGTTTTGCAAACCTGGTACAAATATTGATGATGTATGCATAAAGTGAGCAGGCAAATAAAGCTAGAGGCTCTACTTTCTATGTTTGAAATGACTGAAGGTATAAACCACATAAGGCCCAGAGTCTTCATATTTCCTGGGATTTTAATTCTGTATCATGCTAAAAATAGGCGGGTATTGTGCTGGATATTTTGGTACCTAATCTTTCTTCACATGGAAATAGATTTGAAGTTGTAACATAATATGCATGATTTCAGGAAAGGTCAACTGGAACAAACGATAACCACACTTTAAATGCTGAACAGCAAGAATCTTTTGCTAAGTATCCAAGTAGCTTGATGGTAACCCAAATCCAGATGTTGCAATGGTGTCAAGCATGTAGGCCTGTAAAACTGCTTTTCATTACTCCCATGGAAGCTTCATTAGACCTATTCACCAAGAGAGCATGTTGGCTAATACATAAGAAAAATTAGGTCCTGTTTCTTTTTTAAAAAATTAATTTATTTTCTTACAACTCAAGCTCCATTTCTAAAACAATGGCACCAGGCACCTCAGTTGCATTGAATACAGCAGTTGTTTCCACAGCCATTGGAGTCTTTGAAGTGCAGATGCATTTTAGGATGACACTTCTCTTAATACAAAAGTTGCTTGTTGTTAAAAGCTCCACACTGCTTTTGTCTAATAAACTGTTCTGCATCTTCATATTTCCTTCCACCCGCCAGCGAATGCCAAGGCCACAGCTCTGGCGCCCTCCTGACTACACAACAAACAGCAGTACAACAGCCTGGTCCTTCACAAAATTTAATTTTTTCAATTTGCCATTCATCAACAATCTGGTTGGACAGTGGAGCACCATCATCAAAACTCCAATTTGGAATCCAGAAGCCTTCTTTCTCTACAAGAGTAAATAAAATTGCTTAGGAAATTCTCACTATTAAGGTAACCCCATATTTAAATTCCTCTGTAAATTTGTTGTAGGTTGTAATGGCTGGATTGTATGTAATGAGAAATCTTATGTTTTTGTACGCAACTTTCAAAGGAGCTTCATTTGGGCCATGTTAATCTTGTAAAAAACCCTCAATCAGGTGATGAAAGAATTTTTAAAAATGAATGCAGAAATGATGCAAAGATACTGGGTCCACTTCAATATATTGCGTTCAATATATTCAAAATAGCATTTTGAATATGAAGGTGGCACTAATGGGTATTGAAATGAACCTCCCAACAAGAAGCAGCTTCAATCCAGCAATGCTGAGAGAACAGTAAGGAAGCACACTGAGGTTTACCCCATCCTGCTCAGAACTCTGGTAAAATGTTCTGTGGATTTCAATTCAACATACGTGTATCCAGGGTAAGCCCTCTGAGTAGTGGAGTAGTTGTGGAGAGATGTGAGTGCTCTAGGTCACTGTTGAGGTGGTACTGTGCTTGATAATGATCTCCACTGCTCTTCAGAACATCTGAAGGAGTGTAGCCTAATCATATAGCTGGTCCCAAAGTGGCCGTGACACTGGCAGTGGTGACAGCTGCAGGGCAGAAGTTAGCTATGGTCATCGAGGGGTGCGGTGGCATTGCATGTGACAGTGGGCTCACCAGACTGTATGGCTCTTACATGTGTCGGGGAGGTAAGGCTACTATTGTTATGCCCATTTTACAGATGAGGGACTTTAGACTCCCTCAAAGTAACTCAGTCAAGGCTGCTTGGCAGGTTAATTTGAGTGCTTCAAACCCAGTTATCTGGGACCTGAGTCTGTGCTTTTAATCGTTATGAAATTTCACCAGCACGTATTCTTGGACTTTGCACAGTGATGCAATTTAGCCAGAAAATGGGTGCATGGTCAGGTCATCTTAGGCTGCTTGCCTGCTGGCCAGGGAGGTGTGGGCTGTCCCTCCCATCATACTCCCATGTGGCTGGACCTGCACCCTGGCCTGGATGCCCAACAGGTGTTCAGAAGGTCAGGGTCTTAAGTGAAGTCATGCAAAACCTTCAGGATGAATGTTGCCTAGATTTTGGAAATCCCTATCTATCAAATCTTTCTTCTCAAGATTCACATTAAAGTTTTACTAGTGCTTATAAAAGGGTGTGTAGCAAGTGGGGGGTGGGAGTGAGTGAGTGAGTGCTTAGGAAGGGCTTGCTGCCATGAAATGACTGAGTAAGCAGAGTTGGTGGGGGTCCCTCAATGTCCTCAGGCCATGTGCTGCAGGCCAACCAGGTGGATCTACATCTCCCTGTGCCGCAAACTCACTTTCTACTTTTCTCACTGGCACAGTTACAATATTTTCATTTAGGACTGTTGCAGGGCAGGGAGAGGGACACCCCAGACCCTGCAAACTTACCTGCTCTAAATAGGTTTTGCCATCTGCCACAGCAAATTAGTAAACAACACAGGAAAGGCAAAGAATATAGTTTCTAAATCCAGCACCCAAAGTCACCTGTGCCCTCGTG